TAGTAGTAGTAGTAGTAGTAGTAGTAGTAGTAGTAGTAGTAGTAGTAGTAGTATAGTAACAGATAGTAGTAGTAGTAGTAGTAGTGGTATAGTAACAGATAATGGTAATAGTAGTAAAGCAGATAAACATTAAATTTACATTTGGTGATAGTAATATATTATAATATTAATAGTAATATAGTAATGGAGTAGTAGTAGTAGAAGTAGTAGTAGTAGTAGTAGTAGTAATAGATGGAAACTAGTAGTAGTATAGTAGATGAGCATTAGATTTACCATTATTAATAGTAATGGATTATAGTATTATTAGAAATGTAGTAGTAGTAGTAGTATAGTTATAGATAGATAGATAGATAGATAGATAGATGATAGTAGTAGTATAGTAGATAAACATTAGATTTACCATTAGTAATAGTAACTGATTATAATGTTAATATTAATGTAGTAGTATAGTAGTAGTAGTAGTATTACTATAATAGATAAACTAGATTTACCATTAGTAATAGTAATAGATTATAATAGTAATATATTAGTAGTATAGTAATAGATAGTATTAGTAGTAGCATAGTAGATACACTTTAGATTTACCATTAGTAATATAAATAATTTACTGCAAACCTCTGTGGCCTTCTTGCAGAAAATTATTGCATTTTAAACCTTTTGTGTAAAAGAAAGCATCTCCTGCTGCTGTTGTCACAAAATTATCTCAATATTTAATCCAGTCACGCAAAAAGTTGTTTAATTATCTCAAAATTCACATTCTAACCATAAAAAGTAATACATTGTTAAAAATAGCTAAACTTTTTCTAAATTAATTGGTTCCAAACAAATTTTCATCCATTCTTTGTACCTGACCAAATACCTTTACAATACTATTTAAATTTTATAAAATGTTTGTGCAGTTGAACCAAGATCGATCACTGAGGCGTGTTCATTAAAAAAATATTTCTTGCACTCTCAATTAGATTTTTCACTTTTGTCAGACGTTTAAGTGATCGATGTAGAAAAATTAATCAACAAGACTCTGCTGTGATGTAATGCTTAAAAATAGTCTCAGCTTAAAACGAAATGAGCCAAAAGTTATTTTAAATTAAAAAAGTGACAAGACTTTAAATGTATATGATATATATTAAACATTCACTTTCTGTAACTATTACAGCTTTACACTAATTTTTAAATAAACTTAGATACTTTTATTTTAATGTTTTATTAATTTAACTTCATATTGTTTATTAGATATTTATTAAAATCAGACTATAGTCAGAAAGAAATCACTTGTTTTTGCACACACGCTGTAAATATTTTAGAAAATATTTGTATGAATGATTGTGAGATTTTAGATTAATATTAGTTAAATAAAATATGTGCAATTTTACACTATTTGGAATCATAAAAAGTAGGAGATTAGTAGGAGATTTTAAAAGAAAGATGTATTTACCTGCACATTTCATAGAGAATCTTTTTCAAAAACTCTCAAGAAGATATTTTTTCCTGCAGTTTTTAATTATTTTTCACTTAGGTGGTTTTCATTGTGTAAATATTGTGATTATTTTTTTGTCTTGCAGCGAAACAAATAATTTACAAAAAAAAATTTCTTTATTTCATTTCGAACAGTTAAAATATCAACTAAACAAACAAAAGCATAAATAAAAACAAATATTTCCACCAAAATATTCTATTAACAAAACAAAAATGTACGAAAAGGGAGCAGGAAGAAGCAAAGGCTTTTCCAGTCCTGTCCCTATTTACATGCAAATTCTAAATCAATATATACATAAATACCCATACATGCATATGTAATTGTATATGCATGTGTATTTATGTATTTATGTGAAACGTATCAAAACTAAATAACTTATTGTAACATCTGAATATTTACATTCAGCAAAAGTCGTTGTCAAAATTCCCTGCAGACAGACAAATGTACGAGTCATTCTGAATTCTACCATTTAATTAGTTTTAATATTTACCTAATTTTTGGCATTTTAAAGTGAGGTTCTGTAAAAAATAAAGTTGCTTAATAAAATACATTTTCATTCATGTATGACACTGTAGTGTCATAACTTGTGAATAATTGCCAAAAAAATAATAAATAAATAAAAACAACAACGGCAATATCCATGGAAGAGCCATTTGGGATCAAGAAATCAAACTGTTTTGATGTATTTGTACATATTTATGCTGATTTGTTGGATAAAGTATGCAAATAAAAAGATTTGGTTGAAACTCTAAACCAGGGCTTTTCAACTGGTGGCCCGCGGGCCATTTCCGGCCCGTGGGTGACTTCAATCCAGCCCACTTTTAAGAAAATAAAAGTTTGCTGTTGTTCTTTTTGCATTTATGAGTAAATGCAATAAAATAAACAAATTTAAACAGTAACAGATCATTGTAAACTTTGGTTTATTTACACAATGATTTTAATCACTGTATGTCCGGCCCCCGAGTTGTTGGCTTTCAGAACATGTGGCCCCCTGAGCAGTTCTGTTGAATAGCCCTGCTCTAAACTCCTTAACGTCTTCTCAGTTGTCTAATTACCCCAAATTTGTTTACCTATAAGGATCAAAACCAGCCAAATGTACATCAATCAAGTTTCCACTGGGTTTTATGAGATTCATCCGAATGCTTTGTTTACATTAAGTGCAGACCTGCATTTCAAAATAGCAAAACAAAAAAATCAGGTAAACTATTGGAGTAAACGCTCTCAAACTGCACCAGTTCAGGTTCAGGATGATCTTCTTTATGTTTGGTTACATATTTGTTATGAGTACATTTAAGCCTACTTCAAAGTGCATGAAATATCCCTTTAAGCACGTTGTGCATTCAGTCAAACAGAACCAGACTTGCATGATGTTTCTCTATAAACAAAGGAGTAACAAAAGCAGAGCAAATGAATAAATACATTTGTATTTCAGGTTAGTGTTGTCCGACCTTAAAAACAAGATTTTCACTTTTTATGTTTTGCATTTTTAAACTGGTAAATAGGTTTGAAAGTAAGATTTATTAATTTTTTTAATTGCAGCCAGCGCAGCTGTTTTTGTTTTCGGTTTTAGCTGTAAATAATATACGTCCAATCAGGTGGTCTTACTACTCTCTCCAGGTCCTCCAGCAGGTTGTTGGTGACAATCCGCAGACCCTGGATCTCTGTGATCAAATCCACAAGCTCATCGCACGGATGACGACACATTTCTGACGAGCCGTTCCTGTAGATCTTTGCGCCGCTCGCACCTGCAGAAAAGCCACGAGACGGTTCGCTCTGAGCTGGATTATCTGCGCAGAGACGCAGGTGTGTCTGAACGCAGGTGTGTGGTTTACCTGCGCACACGGCTGCTGCACACAGGGGAATTAAAAGCCACGTCCGAGGCCACATCCCTGCTCACAAACGAATCGCACACGCTCTGCCATTAGACGCATTAAGCATACATCACTCCAGACAGCGAGCCAAGTCTGCCTCCCACCAGATAAAACACAAAGATGGAGACAAAGAGGGAAATTAACCTTGCATACCTGCGTAGTCCTCGCAGCTTCGCCTTTCTCCACAGCTGGTAGGCTCGTCCTCGCTGCAGCTCCACGGGGGCTCTAATGGAATGCCTGCCTCCTTTTCCTTAAAATCCTTGTTTGCTCGTCTCCTTATTCCCTTCCCACCTTGGGATCCAGCAGAACAGCCTCCACAGTAATTTGTCGCTGAAGCATCCAAACAGCTGAAACCTGAGGGCAGAACATGTGAAACTTCTCTCCAAAGTTTGGCGCTTATGTATTCGTTTTGGTGTGTGTGTGTGTGTGTGTGTGTGAGTGAGAGAGGCGCGAGCTGGAGCCATTTATTACTCGTCTGTCTGGCAGTGAATTGACTTGCATATCTCCCAGAGATCTCAGCGAGACCCAGCTGGATGGACAGAGCTGTGTAGTCGATGCAAGTTTCCCAGACGCATCATTTACCCCATTCACTCCCCAAACTGAGACTCTCACACACACACACGCACGCACGCACGCACGCACGCACGCACGCACGCACGCACGCACGCACACACACACACACACACACACACGCACGCACACACACACACACACACACACACTTGTGTTGCACAAGTTTTCCTACATTTTCAGAGCAATAATATTGGCATTAGCATAAATCTTGTGCGCAAACCAAAAGTCTCAATTGGACTGTTTTTGTGTGCGTTTCAACAGTCTGTCTCGAATCTTTCTCAAAATATAAATAAATAAAATAAAAGCAAATTGATGGATTTCAGAAACATCTTTTCCTCTCGAGCTCTGCGTTTGGTCCTCTCCCTGCTGAGTCAAAAAGGCATCATCGTCCTGAATCATATTTTCCATTTGCAGCCTCCACTTGTGGAATAATGAATCTCACAGATGTGTGCACACACGCGTGTGCTCGGGCCCATGCACACACACACACACATTGCCTACAGACTCTCCACTTCCAGGTACAAACATTTCAGCAGACAAGGAACACACAACATGTTTCTTTTGGAGACGTTTCAGTGCACGAGATGCTGGGAGCAGGTGCTGTCACGGCGCTGGGAGTAAAAGAAAGTCCACATGTAATAAAGATCTGAGGGGACGTAAAAAGGTAAAGACTTGGGCAAGATTACTTGGCAAAGTCCAGCATGACATTTTTGTATTGATACGCAGCGTGGAAGGCACAGTTTGTTCCGAGTTCAGTTTTTAACTTCGTGCTACAGCCTTTCGAGGGAGAAATTTGTTTTTAAAAAGAGGAAAGCTTCTCATGACTGAAGTCTGCCCGGGGTTTAAGGGGCAAAGATGGCGCAGCGTGCAAACATTTATGATTAAAAGCTTAGCAGTACTAGAAGAAAAATAAAAAAAATAATCATTAGATCCACTTAATGAAAATTTCATTAATTTTTTTCTAGTAGTTCAGAGTTAACTCTAAATAATAAATAGCAACATTTTAAATGAGGCTCTTGAACAGGGTGGCACAGTTGGTAGAGCTGTTGCCTCTCAATGAGAAGGTTGCCGGTTCAAATCTTGGTCCGTGGTTTTTCGGGGTGGAGTTTGCATGTTCTCTCCGTGCATGCGTGGGTTTCTCTAGGTATTTTGGTTTCCTTCCACAGACCAAAACATGCACGTTAGGCTGATTGGTCTAAATTGTCCCTAGGTGAGAGACTGAACGGTTGTTTGTCTCTATGTGTCCCTGTGATGGACTGGAGACCTGTCCAGGGTGTCCCGTGCCCCCTCCGCAGTGACTGCTAAATATGGGCACCTGTGACCCCTGAGAGCAAAAAAGGAAAAAGTGGGTAAAGATCATTTAAAAAAAATTTTTTTAATTTAATTATTCATTCATTTAAAAGAAACAAAATAAACAAAACAAGTTCATCAAAAAAAAAAAAAGAATGAAAAGGGTACAGAAAGAAAAAAAAAATTATATCTGCCCCA